CGAGGGTCTTCTGAGAATGTTGTCCTGTAGCCTTGGGAAAAACTCGTCGTTGGTGGGGTCGAGGGCACCGTCGGCGCTTAGTTCAAATCTCCACATTTTGGTCATTTTCGCTCCAAGTTCGCTCTTTTTTGCATTTTTTTGCTCCAATGACCCTAATTCATCATTCCTGCAACAAAACATCAAAATATCTTTCTTTAAAGTGCAATATCATTAAAAATGGTATAAAATATGTATGAAAATCTCAAAATATTTTCCTCTGGTCAATTGACATGTAAGTCTTAAAATATTTAAGTTTTTTTTTGAAACAAGCTTTGCGCAATGATTTAAAGCTTTTAAGTATGAACTCATGTAGTTGTTCTTATCTTTTGAAACAACATAAAACACAACAACGAAAGAATACAAAGAAACCAAAGAACCTAAGAGTCGTCAAGTCATCCACGTAAATTTGTTTTTTGTTGTGTTTGCATTCTAAAGTTTCAGGTAACCGAAAAAAGCATTACATCATATAATATTTTCATGCATTGCTAATATGAAGCGTTGTAAAACCACATTTATTTGATAACAACACCCCCATTTGTTTGACAATAACACCACACTGATACATAAATATCACCAAAATAATTCCATGATAACAACACAATGACACCAATATAACATCAAAATATTATCAAAAAAACACAAAAAAATACACCACAATAATGTGGTTGTGTTATTGAAAAGGGAGTGAAGACATTATTTTTTTATTGTGGATTCTCTAGGGTTATTTATGAGTTATTTTGAAGTTATTCTTGTGTTATTTTGTGTTATTTTGGAGTTATTTTTGTGTTATTATTATATTATTTATGTGGTATTTTTTAGGTTCATTTGGTGCTATTTATATGATTTTGTGTTTATTTTGGTGTTTTTCTTGGGTTATTTTGGTCTTAATCTTATGTTTTTCTTATTCGTGTGTTTATGGTCTTATTGAGGTGTTATTCTTTTATTATTGGAGTTGTAATGTTTGTCGTTATTTCTTGGGAATGTGGTTGTTTCATAATGTTATTGTAATGTTATTTGGTGTTAATGTGATTTTATTTAGGTGTTATTCTTGCATTATTGTGGTATCTTTTAGGTGTTATTTTCAAATTATTGTAGTATTTTTGTGATGTTTTGGGGTTCTTTTCTCATATTATTGGAGCTGTAATGTTTCTGTTTTATTGGGGGAAATTTAATATTATTGTGGTTTAAATTGTAATGTTAATGTAGTGTTTATGTGGTATTATTTAAGTGTAAAATGAGGTCTAATGTTGATTCTAATATTATTGAGGTGGGATTGTGGTGTTATTTTGAGTTTTATTTAGGTGTTATCGGAGCTTAATATTTTGGGTTTGTTGAGGTGTTATTGACACTGTTATTGTGGTGTAATTCTAATTGAATTTTGGTGTTATTGTGATGTTAGTTATTTTTTAAGTTGTAACATTTCAGTTTACATTAGGTGGGATTGTGGTGTTATAGAAATGTTATTCTGATATTATTTTAGCATTATTATGGTGTTATTATGAGATTGTTGAGGTGCTATTTAGGTACAATTCTATTGGTATTCTGTTATTGTGATATTTTGTTTTGCATTCATATTTTTAATGTACTGGAGTGATATTATTATGGAAAGTTATGTATAACAAATTGTATTGGTTTGCATTATCTTCTTTTGTAGGATTTTAAACCCAAGAATGTCCACTTGTAGATGTTGTCCATTTGTTGTAAGCGGTTCTCTTAATATGATTAGACATATCCTATATGGGGAGACCAAGAATAATTTGAAAGTATTGAATGTGCTTTAATTTTTTGATCAACTGGGAATGTCGGGCTGACGACATTAAACCAAGTATTTTGAACCAAGCGCTTTATGGGAGACAACCCATATTTATTGTTATTTATTTTGCTTTTATGTTTTTGTTTGAATTATTAATATATTCATATTTTTATGGATTCTGTGTATTTGAGAAACTAAAAATTGAGAAAAAATTTAAAAATATCTTTGTTAACCTAATTTTATGGGAGATTTGAGAATTTATTGGATTGAGATCAAAATGGCGAAAACTTTGGAATTGGCGCCTTAGGCGACGAAAATGACTTAAAACGTTTCAAAAACACTTTTTTTGTGGGTTCTTCTCCTTATAACTTCCAAAAATTGATTCCAAAACATATTTTAAGGGGGAAAACGAGGGAAGAGTCACTACTTTTCAATTCCAATGGTTTCCCACTCTAAAAATTCCGCGAGATTTGGAATTTTCAACCGGAGAAAGTTTGTTAGTTTTAATACGCAGAAGTTTCAGAGCTCTCACTGCTCCCTCACCTGAAGGCTAACAATCTCACATTAGCTTCTAATCAACTGGACTAAATTGGGGATTTTAATGCGACAGATTAAAATCTCCAATTCTGCATTCAACAAAGTATATTTCTCTATTTATTTGCACTCAACTTTATTTGCACTCTCTCTATTTATTTGCACTCAACCCCATAGATGACATCCTCTCCCATGGAATCAAATGTGATTCTCACTATGTTGTATAAGTTATAACCATTTTGGAATATATGTTTCTCAACAAATTTTAACATTTCAATTGGCCAGATCAAAAAGTAAATAAAGATCAAAGTTCAAATTATCACAAATTATTGATATTTAAAACCGCAGAAAATCAAATCATTTCTTCACAAAACCATATCTCAAAGTAGAGAGAAAGATAAAGAAGACTACTTAAAATTCATGAGAAGGAAACAACAAAACACGGATTTCATATATAAAAACAAGTTTACAAAAAAAAATAAAATAAAAGACATAACTTATCTCACATTCCTTCCCAAGCAAATTCCTAGAAGTTCTCTTCAAGCACTTTCCTTCTTTACAAGCACTCTCAACTCTCTCTTAGACGTGTAATGAAGAAGAAATCTCTCACCTCCCCTCTCCTATTACAATCCTTGAAGAAAATCTCCAAGCCCTTGACTTTCTCTCACTCTCTCGCTCACGCGCCTCTCTTCTTCCTCTCTTCATCCCCTCTCTTCAAAAAGAATTTAAAATTCACTCCAAAA